AAATGGACAGTGTTTTCCCCTGGTGCCTGTGAATTCCTTGAACATGTGAGACTTTTTTAATGATGCCATTTTAATTGGCTTTGGCTGAGCAGGTTTTGGAAATTCTGCTTCTTTTAGGGGAAGTACTTGCTTTTTCATTTTGGTAATGAAATCATAAATGTAATTATAAATTTGCTGAATAAGAGCTAGTTCAAAGAGAAAAAACACACCCTCAAAGCTATTGTTATGTCCTAACAGGGTGTTTTGACTTTAACCAGTCAACAGTAATTAAAAAGGAAGAAGTCTGTAGCCATTCCAGCATCATCAGAATTCCAAGGTTGTTTCGGTTCCTTGAGATTTGTATCTTCTTATGACTTTATTTCTGGTAAATATGCAATGTTTGTGGCAGAAGAGTAACTGGATGCGTAACTTTAAAAGAGATACAGTTCTTGAATTTCCTGAATGCAGCAGCTTGATAAAGGAATCCTGAATTCTTTCCTAAAGAGGATGCTTTAGTTCTGAATTGGCTCAGACTTTGCTAGAATTGTCACTGTGAATACAATGAATTTTATTCTATTATACAAGGAGGGTGGGAAGCGATTTATCTTTTCAATAAAACTCTGTTTTACTGTCAGAATGAGTTTGGGATTTTATTCTTTCCTGCTTTCATGTTGTTTTCCCTCCTTTTTTTTTAATCTCAACCTGAAGCCATTTCTTTACTGGGACTAACAGCAATGAAATGAAACGTGATAGTATCCTGTTGCTGTGAGCTCAGAGGCTGTAATCATGATGTACTCGTAATTTCCTCCCTTTGTTGTGAGTGAAAACCTATTAAGATCTCCTGACTCTTAAAACACTGGGAACTGGGAACATGTAAACAGTGATTGAAAAAGAGAGGAGTTGATGGTGGCAGAGAAAGTCTTCTATCAGTGAGAACGTCTTAATTTGTTTGACCAGGTAGTAAATAGGATAGGGCAACATATAAAAGGCTGTTCTGTTCGTTTGGAGGAAATGACAATAATTATATAATATCTCCAAAAGCCTATGGAGGAGAGGGAGGAATGATAAAGTACACTTCTCAACAGCACGACACAAACCATATGATACGAGTACTTGCCTTCAACGGTGGGATGCAACATACATGGGGCATGTGATATATGTATGTTTTGTTATTTTCATACTATGGCTATGAATATCTCAGTATCTTTTAAACTTAACCAGATTTGCTGGAATACCTTAGAGGTTTATATGTAAGTAAAAGAAACAATAATAGTATGTTTATACATTATGTGACTCCATTTTGTGCTTAAACACAGTTTATTGGCATAATTTCTTCAGTTTACCCAATATATTAAGCCTTAACCATGGCTCACAAACCACAATAATTGAATTCACACATTATGCTAAACACAGAGGAAACCATATTCATAATATACAATACATCTACTAGCTTTTTCTGCTTATTATACCTGTCCCTATTTGAAAATTTTGTAGATGAAATTTGGAGTAGAGTCCATCAAACAATCTCCATCTCAAGCTCCTCTGGAAGTGTGGGGAGCTGCTTAAAATATAGAAGATTAGACTAAATTCACACATTGCATGACTGGTTTATACTAGATTAAGCAAACTGCATGGCTTAATGTAATGTGTAAACTCCTGCCTTCTATTTTCCCCACAACAACAAGGCTTCTTCTGGTTTCTGTAGCCTACCACATTAACCACTACGTTCTCCTTAAGATCTCCTCCCATTAAAGTATCATTTTTTGTACAAACAGCAATACAAACATCTATAATTCTGAAACAAATAACATGAGCTCCTTGATTATTTATATATTTAAGCAAAGCGTCAGGCGACTGTTCCAAAATCTCTTAATAAATTTCATCCTTTTTTCCCCTGTTTCCTCATTCTCTATGTATCCACATTCATTATTACCAACCTCTAACTGTGGGGGTTGGGGCTCCAGGTATTTGTCCTCACTTCTCTGTTTATTGTATGAACGGAAATTACTGTGTTATTCCCCTAGTCATCTTCAGAAAGTGCCTCTAAAATCATGTTTTCATTCTTAATTATGAGCAGAGCAAGGGAGGAAAAAGCTCAAAGTCAGTACAAGAAATGTATTTGACCACCATACAGATAAATGAGAATCAGAATACAGAATAACAGAATTGGAAGGGACCTTGGAGGTCTTTCTAGTCCAATTCCCTGCTCAGGCAGAAGACCGTATACCATTCCAGACAAATGGTGTCCTATCTTTTCTTAAAAACCTGCAGTGATGGAGCATCCCACAACTTCTGGAGAAAGCTATTTTAATTGTTCTCACTCACAAGAAACTTCTCCTTATTCTAAACTGGATCTCTCCCTGATCTCTCCCTAAATTTCCATCCCTTATTTATCCTGCCCTCAGAAGACTCCCTCTTCTCTGTAACAGCCCTTCAAATATTGTGTAACTCCTAGTCCTTCTCTTTGCTAGACCCTGTAATAGGGCTTACACAACTGACTTAAGTCGTCAACTAAGGAGCCATAAATGCATCACAGATTTTTAAAAAATGCACTTAAATATATGTACAGGATCAAGAGAGACGTGATGCACATAAGGTAGAGGTCCAATCACACAGCCCAAATTACTTAAAAGGAACTGAGCACCTTTAGGAGACAATGCTGTGCAATTGCTGGGGTAAAAATTAGGGTACTTTAATACAATCCCATTGATTACTCTTAGGTTCAAATTTTAAAATGTGAATAACATGATTTTCTTCAAATAATCTTTCTAAAATACTGAGATTTTCTATAGTTTTCAGAAACTACCCATTACATTCAAATAGGACAGAGAAATAAATCAACCTTTAATGGGCTACATTTAAATAGAGAATTAGCAAACTACAAATCTCCAAAACAAAATGTATTTATGCTTTTAGCAAGAGCCAAAAAGAGGCAAAATAGGATGTGAGAGGGTTATGAGAAATTTTGTTAAATAGGTGTGTCTATAGGCCTTTTGGTTAGTCTGAACCAAGGAAAATGTGTTTGTTCCTGATACACTCCAGTTGTTCTTCTAACCCTCATAAGTGTTATTATCTTGAGCTAGAGAAAAATGGACTGCTACCCCCATTATCTATCCTGTCAAAAGCTGGATAGAACATAATGTTGATGAATGGTACTACCTTTAATTGCAGTATGATAGGGATTTTCCTCTTCTTCCACCAATTGGTCTTCTTGACATTGACTGGGGTTCAGATATAGAAGAAACAAATTTTAACAAATTATCTAGATTTAGATAGTTTAACCATCTTTCAAATTTGCTCTGGGCTTACACAGGTATATCCAAAGGAAACCAACTACAGGTAGTCCTCAGATTATGACCACAACTGAGCCCAAAATCTTTGTTGCTAAGCAAGACAGTTGTTAAGTTAGTAACACGGTTGTTAAGCTGTGTCAATGGCTTCCCCATTGACTTTGTTTGTCAGGTCTCAAAGGGGGATCACATCATCCCAGGACACTGCAACTGTCATAAATATGAGTCAGTTGCCCAGCATCTGAATTTTGATCATGTGACCATGGGGATCCCGCAACAGTTGTAAGTGTGAAAAATGGTTCTAAGTCACTTTTTTCAGTACCATTGTAACTTTGAATGGTTACTAAACAAACTGTTGTGTTGTAAGTCAAAGATCTGTATCAGCTGTTAGCTGGACTCATTCTGAATATGGGTCTAGTACAGAGGTAGGCAACCTTGGCTCTTTTATGACTCGTGGACTTCAACTCCCAGAATTCCTGAGCCAGCATACTGGCTCAGGAATTCTGGGAGTTGAAGTCCACGAGTCATAAAAGAGCCAAGGTTGCCTACCTCTGGTCTAGTACTATTTCAGCACTAACACAATGTTTTTTTTAAAAAAACTGAAAAATGTACTGAAGGATAGTATAGAGCACTGGAGAGAGAGCAGGCTCAGGATTGCACTACTTTCAGTTGCCATTGCTAGTCAGCTGCTGTTCAAGCTGATTCAGGTCTCCAAACTGTGGGTCACTTTGGAGAACAGTTCAGTATAAAGGGATAGCCCAGTTTGAAAGAACTGGGCTCTCCTGATGCCCAGAACAGACAAAGACACTGTCCAGGATCAAGTTTTGTTCACCCCAGTTTGAAGCGGTTCATTCAGTAGATGCTGGGCTGATCACAGTCCCTAATGGTTCACCTGTCTATGATAACAACTGAATGGTTAGTGCGGTATGATTCTATCCACAACAAACTACTGTTTTGTTATCTGCTTATATTTGGGGGGGGGAGGGGAAATGACAATAACATTTGAACAGCCAGAAAATTTCAAACTGCTTCAAGTATGGATGGGTGTGAGTTGAAGGCCTTGTTACAGCAAACACAGCAGAAAGCCTCACGCTGTTGGCGCACATTCATCCCACATTTTGATGGAAATGGGGAAAGATTTGCCTTCCCCTATTTTGTCTTGGTAGCTTAACTATCCTGGCTATAGTTACAGCCAATGCTTGCCGCCTTTTCTTTCTCTCCCTTTTAAATCTAAGAAGCTTCCCCATGATGACAAGTAAATGTTTTGCCATTCTGAATAATATTTCCCCAAGGATCTCATTTGAACAAGTTACTGTCAATAGGAATGCAGCAGAGCATCAATTCAGCCTTGCAACTGTGCGGTTTTGGATTGTCCATTTTGCTTTGGCTCAGCCAAAGTGGCATTCTGTGATAATTTAAAAGCAGTATATGTGTGCCTTTGTGTGTGTGTGTAAGTGTGTCGGTGTGTCTCTCTGTGTGTATTTACAGACAATTACATGAATTAAAACTTAAATATGAATCTGATAGCTTTGTTTCAGATTTCCTTAGTATCACCAAATAGAAATTTTAATGAGTGTACATAGATCGTAAAAAGAGTTAATAGCTGACATGCAGATTTCTTTGAGAAATGTATCTCACAAAGGCAGTTTTGCATGGATGAACTGGCCATTACTTTATGAACTGCCCATTACACAGCATTTCTTTATTTACAATAACTACTGAACATACATTGCAGTACCTTCTTAGTCTGCTTTTTTTAGAAGATTCCTTATTTCCAGTTTCTGTTCTTTCTTGACTCTTTCTTTATCTTCTTTTTCTTTTCTCAGACAAGGATTATATTTCACTGCATTGCTGAGCCTGAGGCTGTTCAGAGAATCATACTTGGATCCAATTTTAATACTTCTGTTGTCAAAATAAGCACAATACTTGAATCCTTTTCTTTTTCCCCTTCTTTGATAGATAAATGGTACTGTAAATTGTAAATATGCATAAACAGGTGAAGAGATAAAATAGATCAGGGATGTCAAACTCAATTTCATTGAGGGCCGCATCAGCATTGCGGTTGCCCTCAGGGGGGTGGGTGGGTGTGGCCAGGGTGGGTGGGCATGGACAGCTCTACATCATTCACGTCAAGGGTGCCTGTGGGGGCCTGGGCAGGAGTGGGATAGATCTGAGGGTCTCTGGCAGAAGGGGGTGAGACCAGGGCAAGTGCCAAGGCATGGTCCATTTCTTCATTCCTCACAAAGGGTGACACCTCCCCAGCATGCACCCAGGGGGTGGGGCCGACACAGCCTTGTGGAGCTAAGACTGAATGTGTTTCAGCATAGATGGCCACCACAAAATTGTACATTGGCTCCTGGCCGGCCTGGGCCAGGGCCAAGGCAGCGGGGGCCATTTCCTCACTGTTTCCAGGATGGCTTCGCGGGCCACATGAAACCACTTCGTAGGCCGCATCCAGCCCTCAGGCCTTGAGTTTGACATGTTTGAAATAAATTGATACCTCAAATTTATCAGTATGGCACACAGCAGAAGTTATCTAATAACATTTTGGAGCTGAATACCTAATTTCATCAGTCTCTTATTATTTTGTTTATTAATATTCTGCCTATTATTTTCATAACCTGCCTCCAGAAGTGTGAATGCTCCAACACTGGAAGTTTTTAAGAAGAGACTGGACAGCCATTTGTCTGAAATAGTATAGGGTTTCCTGCCTGAGCAAGGGGTTGGACTAGATGACCTCCAAGGTCCCTTCCAACATTATTATTATTATTATTATTATTATTATTATTATTATTATTATTATTATTTTAACTCAAGAGCATAATAATACTAATAATAATACTAATACTCATTCCTCCTATTTTTCTCAGAACAACAACCCTGTGAGAGAAAGTGACTGGCCCAAAGGCAGGACTAGAACTCACAGTCTCCTGGTTTTTAGCTTGGTGCTAAAAACTCATAATTGGACCCAAGACCACAATGCCCTGTAAGTTCCTGTGGCAGAATTTGTTTCCCTGCAAGCATAACTAGGAGTGCTGTATGGCTATATTGCCAATCGCATATTAAAATATTTGCTGTAAGATGGACTAGAAGAAAGTGTTCATTAAATAAAGACAAATAAGTAACATGTGTGGCACATCCACACACAATGCTTGTGACACTCCCAGACCGGTTCCACACCTGTGCAATCCCACAATACAATTTCTGTCTAGAACTGAGTTGGTTTACTTTATGCTTAGCTGCGTTCAACAGAAAACAAAGTGACATTTAGCAGGATCTATTTAAAAAGCACAATTATTGTACAATTCTTAAAGTTTCTTCTAGGCAATAGCCTTAGCTTAGATGCTTTATACGATGCAACTTTGAGGAAGGAGATGACCTGTTTCCAGAATGGAAGTAAAGGTTTTTTTCTCCCAATCCTTTGCCACATGCAGAAATTGCTCTGGATCAATACATGCAATGAGGAATGTGTCCAAATGTTGAATAGTTTTATGGAGGTTTGAGTAGAATCTGATAAAGACTATCTTGATTTTCATTGTAATGTTTTCACATATACTATTTTGACATAATCTGTATCTATGAAAAAAAAAACATCACTACCGTCATAATGGATTCTTACTAATGGATAGACTTGAGAAAGGAATAGGCAAGAGAACCAAAAGGGAAACTAAAAAAAAAAAAGCAAAACATATATTACAAACACACAAATGAACCTTTCTTCACTAGTGTCATCCAGCCCTTGGGGTGTCAAAATAATAGCTTGGTGGGAAACTAATGTGCTGTCCCTATTTATATTCTGTCCTCAGTGGCTAACAACATGCATTGTCTTCATGGAAGGAGACATTTTGAGAGTGGCTTGTGAATGGCCATGACTTGTCTTCTTCACATGCAGGCACTTAGCTAGGAATCTACCAATGACTGATCAAAGCCATCCTGAAATGGGGTTAAGTCAAGTGTAATAAAGATCATGTGATTGATGGGCCAATTGGGCTTGTAAAGACATATTGGGGGTGGGGGGGAGAAATGAAGGTGATTTGAAAGAAGCTAAGCTCATCTTCCTTTGGTAAATAAGTGCTGCTTTGATAAATAAATATTTTGCTTTGATAAATAAGTTATGCATTGATTAAAAACCAGCAAAGTCTATTTGAATGGATGCATTTTAAATTTAAAAATGTAAATTTAAAAAATGAATATAAAAAATGAATATATAAGCAAAGGTTATTTTGTACCATTTTCAACTGCTTTAAAAAATATTGTGAGGCTTTGATGAACATGGCCCTAGAAAACTCATCCTGGATGGAAAGTTGTCTGGCAGAAAAATCAACCTCATAATAGCTTCCATGATTATGCAATTCATAGAAAAGTGGAAAGATAATAACAGATTGTAATTGAAGCAAGCTTGTCATATATTCTCATTGTTTTACAACAATTCTTCTTCAGATACTGAAGTGAAACTGAAATAATAAGCTATTTATATGAGCTATCAGCTTTCTTTACTGTTGGGTTTAAGATGCAAGATTGAAGACTGTGTTTTGTTCTGATACAAAGCCTTGAAACTAGAAGGCAGAGGATTAATTGACTAAATACTCCTGGGCCAGCTCTAATTTTCAAAGTCAGGCAACAGAAACAGACATGCTGTGCTGAATATTTATGAATGTGAAATAATTAAAGTTAAACCTTGATCAGGCCTTTGGGGCAATCAGTCTCACTGATAGAAAATACCAGTTTATCATTATTCATTAAATGTATTCTGCTAATTCCTTTTGTTTGTTAACAAAAGAGCACAGGAACAGAGTCTATTATGCTGATGATTCTCACTGGTATTCATGCTAACTCAGAAGTCAGTCCCATTAAATCAATAGAATCAGCACCCAAATAAGTATGTAAACAACAACAGGTTTAAACTGAAAGACATTTGGAGAAATACTTATTCATTGATATCAGTAATGTAGCACTTTGTTTCTAGGTTACTGCTGAATTCAAATTAACTTAACTGTGCAAGGCAGACAAAATTGCAATGAACAGGCAAATAAAAAAGGCTTCTCTAATCTTTAAAACTCCTGCTCAATCCCAAAATAAATATACAATAATTTGGGTTCACTTGTCAAATTTTTGTTTCTCAGTCAAACTATGAGGGTTGATTTCATCTAATATGCTCTGCTAAGACCAAACAATCACATTATGGTTGAGTATGGATGTGTGAATTCCATCACAAATTATATAATAACCCTTCAGCTTTGAGATGGTAAGCGGGGGTTTTGGGATGTGCAAAACGTTCAGTAGCTATAAGCCCCACATATCAGTACAAAGGGACTTCCATCCCAAAAATGTTTCAGCATTTCTTCAAATTAAAACCATACACTTCTTCAAGGAATAAAACTAAACTATCAAATTCAGCTCCAAAAATGATTCTATAATTTGGTGTTTCCTCTTACACATCTGTTTACTAATTGTAAATAGCAAAGAACATGTTTGGGTGAGTGGCTGGGTCAGTGGTGGGAGCTATATTGACATTGGAAGCAACAAGAAGAAAAGGAGGAGAGATCGAGTGGAAAATTTATCCTTAGGACTCCCAGAGTCCTAAAAAGGCTTGAATCAGAGTCACCTCTGAACTTTAACTCACATTGCCGTGACACCAGCCAATACAGCTCTATTGGCTTATCTTTGTGACAATCAAAACCACAAATTTCTCCTCTCTCAAAACAATGCTTAAGTTTAAAATAATGTAAAAATCCTATTTTAAAAAAAATAAGCAAAACCAAATTCAAAATCAAAAGATAAAGAAATCCAAACATAATGTGTCTTAATTACAAGATGAAAGGAAAGAGAGAAAGAATACACACACTTACATTTTTCAGTCTGGGTCCATAGGCTACAACAAACAAAAGCAACCACCCCTTTGTTCATAGATATATCTTCCAAACCCTAATTCCTATAGTAACCCAAGTACTTTGAAACTTTCATTTATGCTTTCTGTAACCACTCCTAGAAGAGTAAATCAGAAGTATTAGAATGAACTTCCAGGCTTATCTTCACATCCCTCTAACTCTGGCACAAGGAGCTTGTGAACCATTTTCAAGTTACATTTCTTCATGATATTGTCTTGGTCTCATCCGCAGCCAACTGTGAAGACGGTCTAAAGTAATATCAAGATGCTCCCTAAGGAATTGTGGGTACTTTGGTTGCATTGAAAAAAATTAATTTGAGTCCACCTATCCTTCACCAACCCAAGCCTGATTTGAATGAAAATATGGAATAATGCTGAGAAAGAATAATTAATACCATATCTAATTAATATTTAAAAATTACTGTTATCCATGTTGCAGTCAATGAGGTGACTGTTGATAGTTCCAGAATTTTCTTGGTCCTTTTGTAATTTCTGTACATATATGATACTGTAATGTCTTGTAAATGTTAGAGCCATTTCTCAGGAAGAATGTCTTCCCATGTTCTTACCAACAGATCCATGCAACAGCTCATATTTTCCTCATTAAACCATGCTACTTCTGTGTTTCCTCCAAAGAAACCTACAGTCTGGTTGATGAAACCATTGGCCACTTGGATTTATTGTCAGTTCACTCCTTCTTGTTCTTGTCTTAGACAAGAACACAAGTGAAGACTTGCTTGAACTTCTTGCGGAAGTGCTTGGAAATGAGAGCATAAACAATCGGGTTGAGGCAGGAATTGGCATATGAGCAGCAATGAGAAGCTAGGCGTAAGGCATAGGTAACTTGGTTAAAGGGGAAATAGCCAAACCAGAAACACAAGATCACTAGATGGTGAGGCAGCCAACACAAGCAGAAGAGGACAGTCACTGTAATAATCATCTTGGTGACCCTCCGTTTGGCTTTGCGGGACTCTGAGATTCCTTCCAGAGGGTCTACAGCAGTCCACAAGAATTTGATGGTTCTGCCATAAGCCAGGCTGACAACAGAGATTGGGAGGATGTAACTAAACACAAAAGTGAAGATGTCTAAGATCTTCCGATGTTGGTCCTCCCAAACTGGAGCACAGATGAACCTCTCCTGGTGATTAATGGTTTGGTAATAGCTGAGATAGGGTCCTGCAAAAAGCAGGGAGAGGGTCCAAATCATGATAATAGCAAGGACTGCATTGCAAGTGGTACGGAGATTCCGAGATTTCAGTGGGTAGCAAATAGCCAAATATCTGGAAAGAAGGGAGAGGTTGATAAATTCAATAGATATAAATACACCTATCATTATTTTCACCTTTATTGCTTAAATGCATTGCTCTTATTGGCCCACTTTCTTCCAGATTCAGACTCTCCTTGTGACAAACCTTTTTCATTCCCTTTTTGGCATGAATTTGACACTTAAAATGCCACCCAAACCTACTATTAGAAAGTCTACAGAAATTGGTGTAGGTGTTCATTATTTCATAATCCCACAAATATGATGTGGAACTTTTTTCCCCAATACAGATAGAAATGTTTTGGAACCCACATATTTGAACCATGCCAAAAATTCATTCTATGTTTGGATATGACATTTTTCTGAAAGAATTTATTCATATACCATTTGAGAGGAAACAAAAAGAACTGGTAAGTATGCTACAATTATTAAGTGGAAAGGAAGGGGAAAGCACAAAAAGAGTAAAGTGATAAAAATAGAAATAATTATGTGGAGAAAGCAAGACACTTACTTTTTAATTGGCTGTGACATAGGTGGAGGTTAGGAATGAAGATGGAGATCAAGCCTAAGGCTAAAACTCTGCATGCAGTTGAATGGAATGAGAGAGTTTGGGTATGGAAGAGTCTGGTTATGTTGAGCAATCCATGTAATCTCTGTTCCCTGGAAGACTTTTGCTAGCAAGTATAAAGCTAGCAGAAGGTGGAGCAGGCTGTTTAGATCCTACCTTTCTGATATGTCATGTTTTTATGTACATAAAAACATTCATGGTTGATTTTAAATGTATCCTTCAATCTGATTGGAAACCATCTAATCTAGCTCAAGACATTTGTATATCTCCCAGGCATGCTTGGGATACTTCTGGCCTCAACCACATAAGAGACAAATCAATTGGGATGCCTTAGTTAGTTATGGGAAGATAGGAAGTACGTTTTTTAAATAAATAAAAATAGATCACATGAGGGGTCCTTAGTGCTTTCTGAGCTTGGTTGTTTTCTTGCACATGTTTCATTACTGAAATTAGGTAACAACTCAGTGCTAGTAGGGAGTGGGATTTGCTCTCATTTTATACTCTAGTGCAGGTGTCTTCAAACTTGGCCCTTTTATGACTTGTGGACTTCAACTGGCATGCCTGGCTGAGGAATCCTCAGAATTGAAGTCCACAAGTCATAAAAGGGCCAAGTTTGAAGACACCTGCTCTAGTGGCTCACCCTGTTAGTGTTGGTGGGAGTTGTCTTGGTGGTTTTTTGGTTGGGCTGTTTACTGTTAGCTGGTTTGGCAGTTTCTTGACTGGGGTATTGTTTGCTTCTTGATTGTTAGTCTAATGTTAAGCTTGGTGATAATCTCTGCTCATTTGAGTGTTGATTGCTGGTGAGAATGAGTTTTCATCTTTTTGTTCCCTTTTTAGCGTTGATTGTTTCTTTTGAATGACATGTAAACATTGTTTATGTCTATGTGCTGCAGATGGTTGCTTAGCTCAGAGAGCACAAGGACTCCTCATTTTAACCCCGAGTTACAAATATTCTCCTCTAATAGGGTCACATGTCAGGTACTTTAAGATTTTGAATAGTCAAAGGATTAAAGATTCTCTTCCTTCTCCTGTTTAGAAATAAATAGACTGATTTCACATATCATATTAAGCAATGGTTTCTTCTTCTTTTAAAAAAAATAAATCTCAGTGCCTGAATACATACAACACATATATTTACCTGTCCACAGAAACAGCTGCCAAGGTAAAACTGCTGGCATACAAGGTAAGGTAGATGAAGAAATGAACAGCTTTGCAGGCAACAGCACCAAAAAGCCATCCATCCAGAGTATAGATGGTGGCCTGGAATGGGACACAGAAAACAATAAAGAAGAGATCTGCCACTGCCAGGTTGAGGATGAACAGGTTTGTAGTATTATATTTCACCTCTCCATTGTGTAGCAGCACCGCCAACACCAGGCTATTCCCAACTGTGCCTACAAGGAAGATAAGGGAAAAGACCACAGGCACAATAATGCCTACAACTCTTGCTTCTAGGCTGTCGGAAGAGGTGTTCCAGCTGTCTGGCATCTCTCCATCAGAGATAATTTAGGCCTGGCAAAAATAGAAAGAGAAATAAATGACCTCTCCTTAAGGATGGCTTTCATTCCTGGGTTCAGCATATGCTCTTCTTACCTCCAAAAATTGCCACTTTCATTTTCTATCCCAGCATTTTGCAACCTGAGATGAAGGATAATATGAGTCTTCTTCTCTACCATTCCATCTAAAGAACCCCACTGGACTGACAATTAAATCTTATTTCACTTGACCACACCTGAAGGCTGAAAGCCCATATAGGAGACACAAGATAAGGCATATTCATTGCTGCTACTGCCTCTTGACAGCACTCAGCCTCCAAGATCTTACTTCTCCAATTCTCCCATTCTAAGCAGCCTACCATTCAAGCCCAATATAGGGGAGTTAAGTTGCAGTCAAAAGTTTCCCAAAACAGATTGTGGGAAGGCAAGAGGTGCCACGTTTAAATTATATGAATAAAGAATGTAGGGTTAAGGTTAAAGTGGGCAGGCCAAATAATATGCAAGGTGTTGAGTCCTTGGCGAAAAGCAGACACAAGAAGCAGTTGTAGTTCTCAGGTTTTCTTTTATTCTGGGTTCAGCGTACAGGTGAAGGCTTCAGCAATGCCCAAAAGCTCCCAGCCTCTTATATAGGCAATTCCCGGGTCAATGTGTTACTTTTCCCACGCCAGCACCCGCGCATGCGCACAGGTGCTGGTGACAGCCTGTCTGGTCCCGGGCAGCTTGCACCTGCCCGGGACTGCCTGCAAACGCCCCGAGCCCGTTTGCAAGGCTCGGGACATAACACCCCTTTCCCCCGGGCTAAGACTACTACCAACATACAATTATTTCTTGATGTAGTGTTCTACTCCCCAGTGCTCCTACTGTTTACTGGCTTTTGTTTAGCCAGCAATGTTATGTAATCCTCTAAGTACTTAGGAGATTTCCTTGCTCTCTGTGACCTTCGCAGCTCTGGGTTTCTGACAGGTGTTCCCTGACTGAGGGGAGACGTGTGCCTGTTCCCCTTATCTTGCCTTGGTGTCTTCCAAGGACTGTGCCCCAATGCCTGGCCTGCTTGCTTGCCCACCGGGCTCGTCAGGCCAGGGCTTCTGTAACTTTGTGACCTGGTTGACCCGCCTAGCTGTAGGCCCTCGGGCCCCTTGAAGTGATAGCCACTACTGGGTGTCTCTGTAGAACCTCCTAGGTCCGTCCAAGACCTGTCAGGAGGCTGTCCATCCCCTAAGCCCCGTTCTGTGTCTGGGCTTGTGTGGGTTTCTGTGCCTTCCCAAAACTCAGTTACTCCCTGATTTGGGCTAGAGGTGTTATGGTCGGGATTTGGTTCCTCGACCACCTCCCTGTATGTTTGACCCCCTGTAGGACTTGGGGTAAGGTCAGGCCAACTCTGGGGATTATGTGCCAGCTCTCTTGCGGGGTATGCTTTATTGGGACGCTCCCGGGTATCCTCCCTGACTGGAGTGCTGTGTGGTGTAGATGGATAGTGATTGTGCCCCCGGGGTGACTCCCTGGCTGGAGTAGGCGTGAATGCCTGATGATTGGGTAAGCCCCATGAATTCCTGTTTGGGGCACTCGCGGAATCTTGGAATGGGCCATTTGTGGCTCCATCATTGGAGGTGGGCAGCAGCTCGTGCCCTTCCCTTTGCTCCAAAGGGTCCCCCTCCCCCCCTGGAAAAGACCCAGGAGTCTCAGCTGGAAGATCCCGCCTAGGGCGGAGTTGGTCGATGTGCCGGCGCAGGACACGACCGTCGTCCAGGGCTACCTCGTAGGATAGAGGATCTGTGACCCTGGAAATAGAAGCGGGGACCCAGGTATGACCAGGCCCGTAATTGCGAGTCCAAACCGGGGCACCCACAAGTAGTTGTCTAGGTGCCCTAGGATGTGAGGTAGATGAAGGCAGTCTGTCCGGATGCAACCGGTCAAGCTTCGTAGTAAGTTTGCGCCCCCAGCGAAGTTCAGCTGGGCTTCTCCCTGTAGAAGTGGACGGTGTGGTGCGGTAAGAAAGGAGAAAGTCAGCCAACCTGTGATGCCAGTCCCCATAGGTGAGTCTTTTCAAGGCGTCCTTTGTGATGCGGACCATGCGTTCAGCCATACCGTTGGTGGACGGGTGGAAGGGTGCAGATGGCATGACATGTTAGCCTGTAAGAAAGCTTGGAATTCGGAGGAAGTAAATTGAGGCCCGTTGTCAGACACAAATTCAACCGTGTGCAGCAAAAATCCCCCTCAGTACCTGAATAGTCTTTGCAGTGGTGGTGGATGAGACAGGTACAACCTCAAGCCATTTTGAATGACTGTCAACGAGGACCAAGAAGAACTGGCCCTGAAAGGGCCCAGCGTAGTCAATGTGCACCCTAGACCATGGGGACTGTGTATCCTCCCATCTATGCACAGGAGCTTGGGGCATCTCTGGGCGAGAGCGCTGGCACAGGTGGCATGCATACACCTTAGCCTCAATGTCCTTATCTAAACCAGGCCACCACAAGTGGCTGCGCGCAAGGGCCTTCATGCGAACAATGCCAGGATGACCCTCATGGAGGGACTCTAAGATCCTAGTCCTCATTGAGGTGGGAATGACAACTCTGTTTCCCCAAAGCAGACAACCCTGAGAAGTGGACAACTCGTTCCTTTTGGACCAGAAACTCTGAAACTCAGGACTAGGGCAGTGCTCAGGCCATCCAGACAAAACCCAAGAAAGGACACGTGAAAGTGTGTGATCTGTGCCTGTTTCAGCGGCAACATCCCTGGCATTCAGAGGGGACTCGGGCAAGGCTTGGATGGATAGAATGTTGACAGCTGGCGCAGGGTCAGCTTCTACTACTGGCAGGGGCAATCTACTGAGGCCATCAGCATGGCCCATTTCTTTCCCAGGCTTGTAGAGTAAAGAAAAATCATATGCAGACAGAAAAATAGACCACCTAAGCATTCTAGGGGAAATGATTTGGGGAGTTTGCTTACGTGTGGTAAACAGTCCCAGCAGAGGCTTATGGTCAGTGAAGACCGTGAAATGCCTGCCATACAAAAAATCATGGAATTTTTTAATTCCAGCAACAACAGCCAGAGCCTCCCTGTCTATCTGAGCGTAGTTGCGCTCAGCAGAAGACAGTGTTCTGGAGTAATATGCAACAGGAACCTGAGTTCCGTCAGACCTGAGGTGGCTCAGGACGGCTCCTACCCCGTAAGGGGAAGCATCACAAGCGATGCACACAGGAAGGGACTCATTGAAGTGTGCAAGTACACTGTTAGAAGTGAGTAAGGCCTTGACCTCATTGAAACTAGCCTCATGTGTTTGTGACCACTGCCACACTGCTTGTTTGTCTAATAGCCTGTGAAGAGGCTCAGCTACACTAGCTTTATGTGGAAGAAAGGAATTGTAGAAATTCAGGAGGCCCAGAAAGGCCTGAAGTTCGGCCTTAGACTTTGGCCTAGGTGCTTCTAAAATGGCAGTTAGTTTGGATTCAGCAGGGTGAATCCCAGCAGCATCAATTTTGAATCCCAGAAATTCAGTAGAAGGCACCCCAATTTTGCATTTGTCTTTTTTGAGCTTGAGGCCTGTTTTCCTGAATCTTAACAGAACAGCCCTTAGCCTTTCAGCTAGAATGTGTGTGGAGTCTCCTGCAATTAAGACATCATCAAAGTAGGGGCAAACCCCCGGTATGCCCCATAGTGTGTTTTCCATTACGCTTTGGAAAATCCCAGGAGCGACATTCACTCCGAACTGTAGCCTTTTTACCTTAAAGGCTCCTCTGTGGGTCACAATAGTCTGAGCTATAGCAGCATCATCATCAACAGGCAGCTGTTGATACGCTTGAGCTAGGTCAAGCTTTGCAAAAACGCGCCCCCCCTTGAGGGAGGCCAGAATATGACTGACCACAGGAACAGGATAGGCATGTTGCTGCAATACCTTATTAAGAATGCATTTGTAATCAGCACAAATGCAAATGTCCTCATTTGCCTTTAGAGGCGTGACAATGGGGGTCTCCCAAGGACTGGAATCAACAGGTTCTAGAATTCCCTGTTGGATCAGTTTGTCCAACTCAGTGTCAATTTTACTCTTTAAAGCAAAAGGGACCCTTCTTGCTTTAATTCTAATGGGAGTGACAGTGGGGTCTAGTTTTAAGGACACAGGGGGTCCCTTGAATGTGCCCAGCTGGGGGCTGAAGACATCTGCAAATTCTTTGCAGACTTCCTGTAGGTCGAGTGTTTGTAAGCTGTTGAGCCCCGTGACGTGTATCCCCAAGGCTTCAAACCAATCGAGTCCTATGAGACTCGTTCGTTCACCCCCTACTACTAATAGGTCTAGTGGACCTTCAAAATTCTTATACTGTACGTTAAGGGTGGCCTCCCCCTTAACACACACTCTCGAGTTTTGAAAGTCTGTTAACACAATGTCAGAAGGCCTTAATTTGGCCTGAGTTCCACTGCCGGAACAAATCTTCCTAAATGTATGCAAGGATATGATTGAAAGGGCAGACCCCGTGTCTAGTTCCATAGTTAATGGAACCCCTTGTAGCTTCACCTTGAGTGATAGCTTTTTCTTAATGGGCTTGTGTGTGCCTGTCCTGAAGATGCTCCTTCGCGAAGCGCAAAAACCTACCCTATTCTGGCTAGGGACCCTGGTACCTTTCAGGCGCAGTTCTTCCTGAGGTTGTACCTTTCGTCAGCCCAGACACACAGCTGCAATATGTCCCTGTTTCCCGCACGCCCGGCAGATAGCGGAGCGGAACTTGCAGTCGGTTCTCCTGTCGCGACCTCCACAGCCGATGCACTTGAGGGGAGCTGCAGAGCTTCCTTTCTGATTCCCTTCCTTCGTGGGGTGGAGACGGTCGACTTCCTCGTCCGGATCCTCCTCGGAGTTCCCTTGGACGTCCTCTTGGTGCACGGATGCAACATCTGGACTGTTCCTGATCGGCCGCATGTTTTTGACGGCGCCGCCTGCTGCTTCTTCTGCGGTGACCTCTCTTAAGGCATCTTGGAAGGACAAGTCTTCTTTGGCGAAAAGCCTCTGTTGTAGATCTCGATGCCTTA